TAAATCTAGCACGTATCTTCAATGTTTCATATGAAAAAATCAATGCTAACATTGGGTATAATTTAATTTTAAAATACATAAAAATTCAACAACAATCAGCAATTATTTAAAATAAAATAGCATAAGTGCATGCGTTGAAAATAAAAAAAACTTGCATAATCACACTATGTATAATGCATATTCCCATTCTGTCTGCACACTGTTCAATATGTTACATTGCATCTTGTATTCTCTGTGATGCATATCAAGAGCATGGGCATATTATACATTTTTTATTGACTGATTCAGGTGAAATAAAAAGTGAAAAAGTAAAATTTAAAATAGAATTGAACACACTTTATAGCTTAAAAGTATCAAAATTATGTGTTAGTTGTTAATGCATCCACATCATATTATACATTTTTACAGACCGATTCAGGTGAAATAAAAAGAGAAAAAGTAAAATTTAAAATAGAATTGAACACACTTTATAGCTTAAAAGTATCAAAATTATGTGTTAGTTACTAATGCATCCACTACAAAAAAAGAGGGCAGTACCGACAGATTCTTAGCGACAGAAACGTTATTTGTCGCTAAAAAGAAAATATTACCGACAGATACAATTATTTGAAGGCAAAAACTATTTGACCCACAGAAAGAGTAATATCTGTCGCTATAGCTTATAATTTTAGCAACAAAATTTAATCTGTCGGTATTGCTTATAGTTTAGCGACAAAACTTTATCTTTCACTATTGTTAATAGTATTAACAACAAAAAATATATCTGTGGGTATTGTTTATACTATCAGAACATTGGGCTGTTGTTATCTCAAGTGTATAAATTGCAAACAGACCCCTACTAGTTATGTATCAATGAATGCCCTCAAGCAAAACTGATTTTTAGTTGTGAATTGTGACATGACATTTATTACTAGTATTATGGAGTATGATTTGTAATTGAACATTTGAAGGCCAGTTGCAATAAAAGTTTTGCAACCCAATATGCTCTTTTACAGACATTAAGGTTCAAAATGCTTCTAATTGTTGTAAAGCTAAGATGGTGTTAAGGGTTGTGGTAGATTGAATTCTTGTACTAAACGATGCGCCTTGAAGAAGGAGAAATCAAAAGGATTGAAATTTGAACAAGAGCATGAAGAAACAAAAGAGAGACTCCAGAATTTAGAAGATGTAGTGTCATTGCTTATAAATACCATGGTTAGTCTCTATTTATTATTGTTAACTACCCATATACTTCATTTGATTCTTGTTTAGCTCATTATATAGTTTAAAGTTATGCCACCTAGTCTCATAAGGTAAATTTGGTGCAAAATATGTAACTAGGTTATAATGTGCTTATAATTTTTTTTCATAGGGTTCAAAAGCTAATCAATCTGAAATCGATGCCCTTACGACTGATGGTAATACAACCACTGAGAAAAGTCATGACGAGGATCGATGGAACAAAGATGATGAAGCTAAGAGCGATGAACTTGAAGATGCATACAGTGACGAGCATTAAAGCTTTGGACTATATCTTTCATATCGATGTGTATTTTAGTTCACTTTGACTGTTTATACTTTAGTTTAAATGATGAACTATTTTTGAGATGTTGGTTTACTTTCTAGTAAATGGGTTAGTTGTAACCCTTTGAAATGTTAACGTATTATGTATTGTTGTTAATACAAGTATGAATATTATTTTTTATTTGTCAATGAAATTATTTAATATGACTTAAATAGTTGGTATTAGTAACAGTTATAATAAATGTAAATGTTGGACAAAATAAGCTATTACCGACAGAAAAAAATGTTTGCTCACAGTTTTTTCTATGAGTAATCTAACTTTCAGCGACAGTTATAATAAATGTTAATGTTGGTAAAAACAAGGTATTACCAACAAAAAAGAAAGATTTACCCACACTATGTTTTGTCGGTAATTCTTTTTTTAGCGACATATATGTTTTTTCTTGGTACTTCTCTATTTTTTAGCGACATCTTTGATCTGTCGCTATTACACTATTTTAGTGACAGTATATTTTATCTGTCGGTAATACTTTTACTGACGGAGTTTTTAGCGACAGCTTAGCGATAGACAATTATCTGTCGGTAAAAGCGAGTAGCGACATATATTTAACCTTTAGCGACATATTGACCCCTGTCGGTACTGCCCTTTTTCTTTGTAGTGATCCACATCCTTTGTAGATGTGCACATACCGAAAACAAATTCTTTAAAATAAAAACATAATTAAAAAATAACAAAGAAACAAATACAGTGGATAAAGAGGGATCTCAACAACTAAAGTTAATAAAGATTGAAATATATTTTTTTAAACAAATACAGTACCAAAAATCATTGTTTAAGGAAATTTATTTAAGGTGAAATACTTTAATGTATAATTCAAACTAAAAAAATTGATAAAATAATAATAAAAATGCTCTGTACATTTACATCTCACCACCGTCTATATACCCCAAACTACTACAGGTTGGGCCAATACTATTTCGAGAACAGCTTCGCGGTGATAATCTGGTTGCTCCGACACTTCCATCTGTACACAACGTTCGGCACTTTCTTCCGAGTCTTGGAATCTATCAAATCATTGTTGAACTTGTTTGTCGCCATCTTCAGATCAGCAAGAAACTGCACAAAAAAACATGAGAATCGGAGAAACTAAACAATCGGTCAAAGAGAAGATGTAAAATCTTGGAAAAGAATAATGGGAAATGGAAATGTTTGCTAATCATGCGTATGGAGTGGCATAATTAAGGAAATTTGGGAAGGGAAAATGCGTGATTTAAGAGAAGTCAACCAATTACCATAGTGCCCTTTAAAAATATTATAAAAATACTTTGGGATGGGTGAGATCGGACGGCTCATAATTATTCTCATTTCTTTCATTAGATTGTATTCTTACCTGAACCAATATATATATATATATATATATATATACATACATACATATATATATATATATATAGACTTAATTTTGGTGACGACACGTGTCATGATACATATAGGTTCATGTGACATATGTCACGCGTGCATATTAAACTTTATTAAATATTCATTATTTTATAAACTTTTCATCTCCTGATCTTTTGACTTTCTCACTAAAATAATATATGACATTTTCATGATTGTAATATACTTTATATAAAGGTTATGTTTATAAAAATAAAATAATTATTAAATTTTAATTTTAAATATATTCACCATTTTTTGTTAATAAATTTTAATTAATAAATTTTAATTTTAAATCTATTCATCATTTTCTGTTTTACTAATTTTCAATATCAAAGAAGAGTTCAAAACTAGCAATAAAAAAAGAAAAATAATGCATCTACATTAAAATGAAAAAAACAAAAAATACATCTATATTAAAATTAAAAACACACTTCTATTAAAAATGATGTATCTTATTACTATAAAAAAGAATATCACATATTATATATTTATTAAATTAAATAACTAAAATAAATAAACTTTATTAGTAGAATGTCAAAAAATTAGAATGTATGTGAGCCCGTGTGAAAGAGCAGTTCAAAGGATTTGGCAGAAAGAGTATATTTATGCTTCTGATGAGAAAGTGGAAAGAGTATTTGTGGCAGATTTGATGTGACCGATGAGGGTATATCAAACAGATAAAGTTTGAATGTATTAATGACGATGGCCCACACAACTTAAAAGACTGCTCCATTAAAAAATTTCAATAGTTGAAATTTCAAATTTAAACTAACAATTATAACAAAACCATAATTTCACAATCCGGTCTACTCTTAATCGACATTTTTGGTCAACTAATATGTTCAGTCGACCAATATGTGGGAAAGTTTATTTGACCAGGATAACAAGACCATTATAAATCCTTCATTTCCCGATAAATTAGATGTTCTCGGGTCGACTTGAATAACAAAACATTTACATTTCTTTCGATATAATATAACAAGGTCGATTGCTATTTTAAAAAGGTCGACCTGACATGTCCAAAACGATCCATTTGAATTAATGTATTTGAAAACAGGTCTACTAAGTTGGCTTTGTGAAAAAACGATTGAGAAAAGAGCAATATAAGCATGAAAAAATGATTGTAATCATAAGCGTTTAAACAAGAAATGATTGTAATCATAATAAAAATATAAACAAGAAAAACCACCAAATATAAAAGCGTTTAACCGTTTTAATAATTAAGTAAGCCTAGGTAGCCTACGACGGCGAAAACCATAAACAATGATTGTTTTTTCTGCAATGAAGGTAAGCACAACATTATCCCAAGCCTTAACCCGTTGTCATTCACAAAATTAGGTCATCCTTTGGAGAGCCTGCAACCACTCTCGTTGACGGAGAGGGTGACTTCATTGGGAGACATTGCCGGGCCGAACATCTGAATCTTCATTTTGCCCTCAGAAATTCCGTTGTCAGTGCAAAAAGACCTTGGCAACTCCTGAAACGAGACATTAAAAAACCTAAAATGATATTCCATCAATGAGAAGGTATTTAAAAAGATAAAACATTCAAACACACCAAATACGACTCCTTGGGGATAACATTGTGCGCCTCCTTCTGTCCGCCTTTGAATTGGTGTTTCCCATAATCACCCAAGTCATGTTCCACTGGAAAGAATCAAAGTCGAGTCAAGAGAAGCACTATCTTCGTGGCGGGACTCAATACATCAGATGGAATCACCTGTTCGATGATTTATTTTTTAAACAAAATAAAATTAAGAAAAGCGGATCGAAATTATGTGATGGGTAGTTCCTACATCTTACCAGGGTTTCAAAGCAATCGGTTGACTCTCGCGGCATGCGGCCGTGGCAAGCAAACTCATCCGGGGAATTCCTTACCCGACGCGAGGAAGAAGCCATCTCTATCTGAGTCTTCCACAGAAAATATGGATTTAGAGTGATAGAGGTAGCGGTATATGAGTGATTTTATCCGGCGGTGGGAGTCAAAGGTCGTGACCAGTCATCGAGAAGTCACACCAATTGAAGATTGAAAATTATTAAAACTAAATATTTCCTACGCAAGAATAATTTTTCCAAAATTCTTTGGAATAGTTATAACTACCAATAACTAAAAAAGTAGGGTCCACAACTAAACTAAACTAACTGTAATAGTCACAACTAGTCATGACACTAGAGCCATTCAATGACACCTCACTACCAATAACTGAAAAAGTAGGGTCCACAATTAAACTAACCATAATAGTCACAACCAGTAATGACACTTGAGCCATTCAATGAGGGGTTCGAGGTAGTCGTCGGTATTCGGACATCTCACGGATCAACCAGTCGTGACACCTGATCCATTCGATAAGGTGTTCGAGGTAGTCGTCGGTATTCGGACATCTCACGGATCAACCAGTCATGACACCCGAGCCATTCGATGACACCTAACTACCAATTACTGAAAATGTAGGGTCCACAACTAAACTAACCGTAATAGTCACAACCAGTCGTGACACTTGAGCCATTCGATGGGGCGTTCGAGGTAGTCGTTGGTAACCGGACATCTCACAGATCAACCAGTCATGAGTCATGACACCCGAGCCATTCGATGACACCTAACTACCAATTACTGAAAAAGTAGGGTCCACAACTAAAATAACCATAATAGTCACAACCAATCCTGACACCTGAGCCATTCGATGAGGCGTTCGAGGTAGTCGTCAGCATTCGGACATCTCACGGATCAACCAGTCATGACACCCGAGCCATTCGATGACACCTGACTACCAATTACTGAAAAAGTAGGGTCCACAACTAAACTAACCGTAATAGTAACAACCAGTCGTGACACCTGAGACAGTCGATAAGGCGTGACTACCAAAAATGCTTCTTTGACCACGATCGATAAGGTTTGATCCATATTTTTTTCATATATAATAAGAATTACATGAGTGGAAAAAACTATAATGCAATCAATATCATTCATTGATTCTGATTAATAAAAAATATATATCCATCTAGTTATAATCCATACTTAATGCAAATAAGTTTATTTTAATTTGTGATTTTAATATATAAAATTTTTATATTATTTATCTACTCGCTATTTAAGTACATATTTAAAAATTATGTTAAAAAATTATACATTTAGAGGATAACTTATGTCCCTATTATTGTATTTATGTTAATTTAAACCGTAATTATGTAATTTATTTATGCTTCCTTTTATTTATGTAGGATTAAGTTGGGAGTAAATCTTACCGTCGGAATCTTAGAGGGCCGGTGGCCGGGCGGGGTGTTAAAAAACTTTGGCCGCCAAAATCAAAAAATTGGGAGACGAGGCGAAAGGTTCTGGCGGGATCTAAGAATTCTTTTCCGCTTATAACCCTAAAAACATAACCGCTTTTAATCTTCTCTCTAACCGTCCGAATCATAAATTTTTCAGGAAAAGGGAACGACGGGACCAACTCCTGAAACGCCTCAAAAAATGCCGCAAACTTTCGTTATTCTGCTGCATGAAGATGATTTCTTCCAGGTCCGACTCGTAAGTGTCTTTCAACAAAATCTTATTACGTAGTTAGATTTTTACTATTTTTCTATTTCTTCCGGATTAGATTTTTAACTAATGTTCTATATCTTCATATTACTCCCTAGCGCATCCCTGAATCGGTTACAGACAGCATAGAAAACTTGAACGAGTTGATGATAGTCACGGGTCCGAACCCTACTATCATGAGAGTCGCTATTTGTTGCACATCTTCTGCTACTTTTTTGAGAAACGGTTAGACGGCCATCGTAGAATTATACCAGTTAATGTCGAGATTTATCCTACATTTCCAATACCATATTGGTAAAATGTATTTCCTCACGGTGTTTGCTCTCGACGGTGCACAGATCCTTTCTGGCTTTTATTCAAGCGCAGAAGAAGACAGTGAAAATTCAATGTAATTTGTGTTGATTAAACTTGTTAAATCTTTGAATAATTGGATGACTTGAATGTACTTTTTTCGTTATTAACTTTGAATATTTTTTTGATCTGAAGCTATTTTCTATAGAATTTGTTCGTCGACCAAACTAATCTTTAGTTACTAAACCTGTTCTTGGACCCTATGTCGACGACAACCATTAATAAACTTGGTCGACCAAACCTATTATTAGTTGAGTTAGACCAAAAAAATAAGTAAATATGAGCCTATGTCGATTTAAAATATTATTTTCTTGGGACAGTAAATAGTAGTTGGAAAGATTTGATGTGACCGAGTAGGGTATATCGAACGGTGGATCTTATCTCTGTAATTATGATGATGGCCCACACAGCTTAAAATATTGCTCAGTAAAATTATCGGTCCAAATTATCTCTTGCTCTGTAAAATTATTGTTGGCATGCATTTGGCTATGACATATATGCCATTGGTAACTGCATTAATCACGATCGACCAAACTAGTCTCAACTCTCAAGTTATTAGACCTGTTATTGAGATTAGTTTGGTCAACCTAGCCCATTAATAACTTGGTCGACCATTTAATAAGAGACGCATCGAGTTCCATTTGATATTTTTTCAAATTCTATAAACACTTTCTATGATCGACCAAACCTAATATTAGACGAGGTCGACCGAAACCAAAAAAATTAAACCTGAGCCTATAACGATTTTGAAATATTCTTTCCCTATAGTTTTTTTACAAAATTTTGCATACAAAATATATAATTTTCTTGATTTATATTCTTATAACAATATTCTTATAAAAATTCTTTAATTAATTTCAAAAATTTTCCAATTGTAATAATGGGACAGTAAATTGGGACAGTAAATAGTAGTTGAAAAGATTTGATGTGACTGAGGCAGGTTATACCGAACGGTGGATAAAGGCGCTTCTTATAATCTCCGTAAAAATAATTCTTGGGATATGCATTTCCCTGCATGCTTTTAAACTACCCGAATTCAATGCCAAACCATTCAAAGTCATTGCACCAAGAACCGTTAAATGCCAAAGCCTTCTTTCACCAAGAACCATTGGTTTTTCCCCAATAAATTCGAAGTCATTGCACCATCCTATTCTCCAATCCGGTTATTCTCCAATCCCTTCACCCATCCTATTCTCCAATCCGGTTATCTATCGTTAAAATTTTTCACCTTTCTATCATAATGGATTGAGAGTAATGTTTCTTTCATTTATGTGGTTCTTTAGTAAAGAGCATAATGGATTTCTCAAATTAATAAAAAGAGCATAATGGATTTCTCACGATCCATTATGCCCCTTTTGCCATTCTCCCACCGCCGTAACCTGAAACACATTGCTTTTGGATCGACAATAACTCTGCCAGAAACAAAGTGTTTTCTTCCTGTAAAGTTATTTTGGGGGGGAAATAGGCGTCGATTGCTACTGGCTCTTGGGGGGGCTATGGAGGAGGCGGCACAACGAGTACAGAGCTGACATAGCAGAGGCTCTGAGCTCAAGTGGTGAGTCCAAGAATGTGCTTCTCACTACGGAGATCAGAAGTCTGGGTTGACTCCTGGTTTATTAATCGACACGAGGAGAAGGATCAATGAGTACAGACCTGACATGGCTGAGGCTTTGAGCTCAAGTGGCGAGTCCAAGAATGTATTTCTCACTACGGTGACCAGAAGTCTATACATTTTGTGATGGACACATAATGAGTTCCATTTGTGCTTTTGTGGTTTTCATATTCCTGCCGAATGTTAAACAATGTACAACAGGTTAATTTCTGTAGTGTTTCTTTAATTCATTTATATGATCATCTTTAGTTTATTGGATTCAAGGTTGCTCTCTGATACTCCTGTCGATTGTTAAACAATTTGGTACAACAAGACTCGTGTCGAATGTTAAACTTCATCACTTAATAATAAAACAATACAATAATTGATATAATAATTAAAAATCAAGTTTTAAAAGTTTACAAAGGGGGAAATTTATTCAAATCTTAATTCAACCCCTTCCTCATCACTCTTCGTCACTCATAACAGGGGAAGCTGCATCATCAAGGTCGCTCACTAAATCTTCCACCCTCTCTTCCAAATTCTTCATGATTTCCATCCAAGTTTGAGACCTGTTTTGGAATTCTTTTGGTTCGGTCTCCGATACCCCGAGCTTTTTCTCCAGATTCTTCACTCTCTCCATCCATGACTGTACTTTTTTCTCAATGTTTTTTGGGACATTATTTGCATTGTTTTCCATATCGAAAATTGTTTGAGATGCGGATGTATTTTGATTTTAATGTTTCCGAATATATAACGTAAGAAACGCTTCACTCTCAGCCAGCTTTAACATCCTGTGAACTTGGTCAAAGTTTGGGAAATGTGCGAACTTGAAGTTAATGCTGCATGTGATTTTTTAAATATGTCGACCTATTATAATGTTGACATATGTGGTCAACCTATTATTAAGCAACGTTTCCATACTTGAGGCGTCGTTTTATATTATAATGTCGACATTTTTTATATAGGCGGAAGAAACGTTTCACTTTCAGTCAACGTTTAGGGAAATGTGCGGATTTATAGTTAATGCATTTGAATTTTTAATTATGTCGACCTATTATATGTCCATCTATTATAATGTCGACATATTAAATGTCGAAATATTAATAAGCATGGTTTCCATACTTAACGGCATCGTTTTATATTTGGTATCGGTTAGTATTTTTTTAAACAAATACTAATTTTATATTTGGTATCGGTTAGTATTTTTTAAATTACAAAACGAGTAAAAACTGTAATTAGGAAACGATGTGTCGATTCAAATTTTTATCAGCTTTCTGGCGTATTGGGAAATGTGCCAATTAAAAAAATTGAATTACAAAACGAGTAAAAACCGTATAGGAAACGACGCCTAAGTTTATCCATCGACGATGTCGTTTTATTTATGGGCTGAATACTATAAATTTGAGAATCACCGGCTAGGGTTTCATCCGTAAAAAGGTTCATTCTCATCCATTTGTAAAGATCTGCAGAATGACGAGTTTTTCTGTTATCCTCTCCAAAGATCTCGGTTTCATGAAAAGATTGGTTTGTGATTTCATTCCTTTTCTTGTGTTTCTTTTACTTGCTTTTAAATTATGTTATGTCAAATTCACTCAATTTTTTAATGATTCAGAGGATCCCACAGGCTGTTAATATGATTGCCAATGGCGAGAGTACGCGGATGGCGATGTCATCAAGATTTTTTCCCCGCTTTCCTCAGACCCTTTTGAAGTGAAAATTCATGTATGTGAGCAAGGAAACATCTTTTTTCGGAAGGGGTGGGCTAGAATAGTTGATGCCCATAATCTGGAGGAGATTCATTTTTTTCATTATGTAACGGACTATGATTATACTATTAAAGTTTTTGGTGAAAATGGATGTGCGGTGGAATATTAATATTGCCACCGAACCTTAATATGTACTCTGTAATATTTTTATTTTAATGAACTAATTACATTGTTCTTTCAGGATTTCAATTAGGTAAAATGCTCATAATGGATTTCTCAATTGGGTAAAAGGCTCATAATGGATTTCTCAGGATCCGTTGTGCACCTTTTTCCGGCAATGAAGTTAACACTTAGATTTTCACTCAGGGGGTACCAAAAGATAATAAATAATGGATTAGCTTGTAAAGAAGAAATGAATCTTGACTACTTATAATGATTGTTTTATAAGCTTTATAAAGGAAAGATCCATTTTTTCTTTACAAGCCTTATGGGTGACTTTCTCTAAAAAAAAATGCCAACGCTTCAGGGTCTGCTAATCCATCCTTTATGATCTTTTGGTACTCCCTGAGAGAAGATCTAAGTGTGAACTTCATTGCCGGAAAAAGGTGCACAACAGATCCTGAGAAATCCATTATGAGCCTTTCCTCTATAACCAGACGACATATGATGGGGGAAAGAGTGTTTATAAGGCTCATAAAAGATTTCTCGTACAACCAAAAGGCTTATGATGGAGGCAAGCCAGTTTTAGGTGACAGGATCTCGTATAGTGTAGGGAAGAATTTGTTGGCTATCCAGAATATGAAGTTTGTTTTATAAGGCTCATAATAGATTTCTCGTATAACCAAAAGGCTTGTGATGGGGATCTCGTATAGTGTAGGGAAGAATTTGTTAGCTATGTTTGTACTATCCAGAATATGAATTAAATATTTGTAATACTTTGCCTTGTTTCGTGAATGTGGCCTTAAATTCTAAACGTTAAATTGATTCGTTTTCAATTAAGATCAACTTTTGTGTATGAATATGGAAGAGGTCGACTTGTGTATGAATATGGTAGAGGTCGAATTTTGGAATGGTCGATAACTGAGGATGATAAGTTGATTCAAATATCTCGGCCGAAGTGATTTACCATTCATGCCTCTAATTTTTCATATTATTGTTGGATATCGAATAATATTATTCACAACATGAATTAAATATTTATAATTAACATTTCCTTGTTTCGTTAATTTTGCCTTAAATTCTCAATGTTAAATAGATTAGTTTTCTATGTCGACCTTTGCATAGCGAATTGGTCGATAAGTTAGGTCGACTATTTCACATTGAAATACACATCGAAATACAATCGCACACGATTTTTCTATTTACTAGTTTTAAAAGTCCTCTCTACATATTGCATATGCGTATGCAGTTCTCAATTGGACAACGTCAAGTTCACTAAATCCCATAAGCACCGAAGGTTGCAAATCTTGAACACCAAGCTCAATGAACTTCAAAGCAAACACCCAGAGTCTGAATTTGTCTATTGTGGCACTAAAGGCCGTTCAACACTCCATTGCGCGTTCATGTCTGTGTGGTCGCCAGGAATACCTTGAAGAAAAGTGGATGCATAATGGCATATCACAGGAAAAACTTTGAGCATCCTTGACAGTACTTCTTCAAGTTTACTCATGGTTGTAATTCGTTGTAGGGAATCGAACACCACCATACACTTTCTATCGAATTCAGCTCTTATGGCGACCCAATGATCAAATATGTTATGAAGCCAATAAACACACGAAATATCCTTCCACGGTTTAGAGCATGTGTTCCATCTACCCTCAACTATTTGCGTGACGCCGGAGCCCAGGATTGGAAAATCAGTAGTGACATTGACCTCACTTAACATTTGGAAGCACTCTAGGAGGATGGCATATGTGCTATCTTTCTTGTTATACATTTGCATGAAGTAGATCATGATTTCTTCCATATGCTGCGAATGAAATAAAAAGGCTAACATATTAAATATATAATACTAAGATATAAATATAGAATACTAATATTAACTTATATTACCAAGGTCTCCAACCAGCCGCCAGCCTTGATCAAGGAACTCCACCACTTCTTCACAATCCCGTGAGACTCTCCTCTGTTTTCCATGATACACTAAACTTCTCTCCCATCAGCAATTGCCGACTGCAGGAATTGATGGAAGGCCTTAAGTTATTGGCTGGATGGGTTCCTTCGTTTGTTGAGTTGCGCTTCTTCCGCTTTGTCCAGCTCTTTTGGACTTGAATTATTTATCAACTTTATCTTTTTATGTACATTGGCGAAGTAGGGGCTCGATATATGAATACTTCGTTTCTTCTCCCGGAGGCCTCGACCCAATTCCTGGATGTTAAAAGTAAGATGTCAAGGAAAAGTAAGTTTAATTCAATAATACTCAAATTAAACCGTACCATCGGACTCAAGGTTCTACTCAGAATTTTTAAGGAATAAGCATTAAGCAGGATCACAACTGAAAATATCAGAATATAAGTTTATTACCTCATCAACATTGTTTTCAGTTGATTTGTAGAATTCAACAACATCATGGACAATTTTATCACTTATTGTCATCTCATCTTCTAGGGCCTCTCCATGAACTGTAAACTTTTCTTCCTCTTCTTCTTGACCATTGGAAATATAATGCTTTACAAAAGGTTCAAAACATTAGAACATACTTCGTCGACCATATATATCAGAGTAAAAAAATCGACGAATGAGTCGACCAATTACCTGGATCGGTGGACTCCCATCCTTTATTTCTTCCTCTTCATTAAGGTTATATTGGTCACCCTCTTCGTCACCCTGACCATTGGAAACATGATCATCCTCTTTCTCTTCAGGAATTCCTTCAAAATTGGAGGGGTCGACCATATTCACTGCCACCAGCTCATCTTCTTCCTTCCCATCGTCTTCCTTCCCATCCTTTATTTCCTCCTCTTCATTAAGGTTAGATTGGTCACCCTCTTCGTCATCCTGACCATTGGAAACATGATCTTCCTCTTTCTCAAACTTGGTTTCAGGAATTCCTTCAAAATTGGAGGGGTCGACCATATTCACTGCCACCAGCTCATCTTCTTCCTTCCCATCTTCTTCCTTCCCTTCGTCACTCCTTCCCCTTAAGGTGTCAAGTAAGGTTTGGAGAATGCTTTTTTCTAGTGTCTGAAATTTTCTGTAACACTCCAACTCGAATAACCCAATTAACTAGATTATTTGAGCCGAAGTAGTTACCATGATGGTAAATTACGCATGATAATTTTAAGAATAATTTAAAACCATTTAAAACATTAATATAAATGATAATTTCAAATATTAAATTTAGAGTAATGTTGAAACAGTATGGAAGCATAAATATAAAATATAATCAAGTCATATTACAATTTTTGGGAACTCGCCCGAAAAGGTGTTTATTAAAATAAAGCATAGTAAATTGTGGTCCACTAGTCTGTACATCTCGTCACTCTCATTGACCTTCGGGATGGGCTCCATGTTCAGTATTGTTACATGCGTGTAGCAAGTAAAAACAAACTACACGCTCAGCCTCAGCTGAGGAATACGCTAATACAACAATTCCAAGTTGAATAGCAAGTAGACATACAATTATTCATGATATGACATAATATAGCATGTATGTGCAAGATGGTGATAATGATATGTAATTGATGTCATACAAAATCATGATGATTGTACTTGATGATGAATTCATGCTGTATGATTCTAAGTCAACAAGGACGACCCTTGCATTATGAAATTCGCCCATTTGGTACGACGAACTCAGCGGCCTTAGTCTCACGAGGGAGACTAGAAAAATAAGGGTGGTACTCGAAAGCCTGAATACCATGTACATACACTAAGCCAGGTCAGTGATGTCGGACTGCTAAGTCCCGCACAATCACACTATAAGAGACGCACTAGGCATGATCTCTTACGCATGCATATGATATGATACGATATGCTTCAAAATGGATGATAAGATGAATCATATGATATGAACAAATTGTAACAATATGAATATGTAATCATACATTAATTTCTTTGAGTGAAATATGATAAAAATCTCATTTAAATAAGCTACGGGGCTCGGAACGGTCGACCGTTTGGCACGGCGGTCGACCTCGATCTTCATTTCGTCGGATTGGCAGAACACCGTGACGGTCGACCGTGATTGACCGGCGGTCGACCGTTGTTGACTAGATGGCGACGGCGGTTCTCGGCTGGGCAGGCGACGGTCGACCATTGGCCACCGGCGGTCGACCGTTTGTCTGACAGTCGCACTCCGTTTCGATGTTTGACGCGACGGTTGACTGTGTACATCGACCGTTCGGGTTTGCGAATCTAATTTTTGATATTTTTGGAGGTCTAAAATACTTCTTTGAGTCATTTTAACACCTATGACTAACATATGTAAGTATTTGAAGTAATCCTAACACTTATATATTCATATAAGGAAGATTATTAAGAAAACATATTTTCAACGTTATGAGTTTGATAAGTTCGATCTTAAAACATAGATGGCTTATACTATGACAATCAATCCTAATAATATATCTAGATTGATATTCAACAAGGGATTGCGTTACTAGGGTGCAATGTACTCGCCTTGATATCGTAGAGGTCGGAAAGATAGAAAGATAATAATACACCTCAACGAACGTTCAACGTACGGTCACCCCTATCAACTTCGAGCTTCCTATGCCCAATCTTCTTGGAAATAACCTCCGGAAGTTCCTAATAACCACGAGAGATTTGACGGTAAGTATTTGGAAAGAAACTATGTGAAAATGATGAAGGAACATAGCCAACCCGAGGAGCTCTCCACCACTGGAGCAGTCCCGGTATTTTGGCCATATCTCCTTCGTTACTTAACGAAATCACGAACCGTTTGTTGGGTTGGATTCATAACGTCCGGGGCTACGATTTTGGTACAATAAATAATTCGAGAAAATGGATAGAAATTACAGAATTGACGATGAAGTCGCTGCTGCGTTTTTAGCTCAGGATTTTTGACTTGAACACCTCTTCTTATTTCTCCTTCTTCTTCCTTTGGTATAACTATGGAGTTGAGAACTCTTTTCTCCTTCCTTGAAGCTTGGCCGACAGAGAGAGAGGGATGAAGAGAGAGTGATTGAGGGTTGTGATGTATAGGTTTGACAAAGTGGAGGAGGAGTTAATTTAATACACTCCACTTTTAGAGGTATTATGCTAATGGATGAATTAGTGGGTTTAGGGTGGCTTGATTGGAGAATTTGAAGATATGGGCTGCGTGATTGAGAGGATCTGGAGATTTAAAAATATTCTCCTACTCCGTAACTGATAAACTGTCTAAAACGGTACGCGCTTTTTCGCCCAAACTGTTCCGAATTGAAAACGGATCGCATATTTGGAATCAGACTGTCAAAACTAAAATTTTGATATAATTAAAATATTTTTCTGAAAACTTTTATTTTTCAGTGTCCGGGTCTATCTCAGTCATTAATTAATACTTAAATTAATTAATCTTTTAGGCCTAATTTCGGGGCGTTACATTTTGTCTCCAAGACATGCTCCACCTCTTGACATAGCGTCTTTCGAAGATCAGAATATTTACCATCAATGTAATCTTTCAGTGAATCAAGTAAGTTTTCACTAGCATTTCCACTAAAAGATGAAGCATTGCCATTGGTTGTTCTTTCCAACCGAGGGCTCTGCTTTTCCAACAAAGGTTTGTGCTCTGCTTTTCCAAGTGAGAAGGTTGGTGTGCTCGGCCTAGATATTTTTCTCCTCCTAAAGACATACTTTTTGGAGGGGACTTCTGACCCCTCACTTGAAGAATGAACTTCATCTGATGATGAATTCCTTTCTGCAGCAACTTCATCTTCACTTGTTGGGGCCATAAGTTGTTTTTTCATGCATAATTGTATATGCTTGTCACCACCTTGGAGTCCCCTTACAAATTCTCCAAGAGTTGGATTAGAAACACAAGGCAAGGAGGTCAGACTGGTGATCCAAAGAGCACGTATTTCACTTCCCTCTGGAAGAAGAATGCTCCTTACACTCTACAAAAGAAAAAGCATTTTTATAAAATAATTATAGATCATTAAGTCGACCTTCACTTTAAATTGTAGAACTTAAGTCGACCATCACTTTAAAGATCATTAAGTCGACTTTCACCTTAAGTCGACCTTCACTTTAAATATTAGAACTTACCTTGGTAGCGTTAAGTGCATTGATAATGGCTTCGTGCGACGGCTTTTTTGAAATATTATTTTTCCAGAGACACATTCTCGGAAGTGCTAGATTTGTTTGCTCCCTCTTCACTCAAAATGTCTCTCCAAAATTAGTAATACACTCAAATAGGAGAAACTGCATGCACCAATAAATGAAGCCCAATTTAACCAATTAAATTATCAGAACTTTTAATACCAATTTAAATTAATTTACTCACGCATGAGGGGAGGACAAAGCCAGTGTATCGGAGGGTGTTGCATGTTTTCCCACCTTTAACAAGCTTCTTCTTTTCTGACACTAAGTCCTTCCCCAAAGATTGGATACTGAGGGACTCCAGGAATGCCCATGTCCCCCATGAAAAAGCCATGGAATCATCAGAGTTTGCAACTTTGGCAAGGATCCATTTTGGAACTGGTGCATCTTTCTTGGCATGACCAATCAAAACGAGGACAACAAACATCAATGTCGCCACCTTCACTATCCACTCGAGTGCATACTCTTTCTTCCCGTCCTCGTCAAGTATAGCCGGCACAATTTTGAGAACCTTTCGACAACAGAAGTGTAACATACCACACTTTTTGACCAGTTTTCTTCAACGAAAACACGCAGTGAATCCTTATCATACTTCTCTTCGTATCCGGATGCTAGTTCTGAACATTTGAGTCCAGTAATCAGGGAAAATTCCATTAGAGAGTATCTAATGGGAACTCCATTTACTACAAGCCACATTTCAGAACCTTTTTCTCCTTCCACATTAGCCTCCCTAACCATCAACTGCCATAAGATGGGTGGAGGGGGGAACAAGTTGGAAATCAAGGAAAGCACCAAAAGGAGAATCTCTCCTAAACACTTCTAGGATTTCCATATGATCGCATAACTTTTCTTTCATCGATTTTTGGAAGTCTTGCCGTGAAGACTTCACAGTCAGCTTCATATGTAGAAAGTCCTTTACATTTACCTTCGTCTTGATCACTGGAACCTATCTAACGACATATAATGTGAACGAATTTCATACGGAATGACATCCAATTAGTGCGACAAGTTCGTCGACACTAAATTTAGTTGATCGATGTAGTCGACGAGACCAAAAATTCATAAACCATTGTCCAGTGGTTATTTGGAGAGAGAATAATTCATTTATAATCAAGTTTCTGACCTCGAATGTTCCTTGTGTGGCCTTTGGGCTTCCTCTATGCTCTGTCATCGCCTCTTCTGCATGATACTTATCGTTTCCATTCTTGGAGTAAGACACAGAAGCATTCTTCATCCTCATTGTAGAAATTCAAGGTTTTCCGAGATCGGTGACTTTGGATGGATAGGGTTTCGATCAACTTTTGCAGGTGTCGAAGAGGGGGGGATAGAGCACACAGAGATCAAAAACTCAATGGTCGCACGATGAAGGAAGATGTTTTTGGAGGGTTTTTGTTTAGTCTCTTCCGAAGTCGTTTTGCCCATTCTTGGATTTTTTTATTTAAATTTAAACTTGAAACGCCATTTACGCTTCGTTAAATGGTATACCTTTTCATTTTCTAAGAAGCGCGTCGCTCATACACGCTTAGATATTTCCGTCAATTCACCTTTACAGGGTAGTCTACCAAATACGAAATATTTACAGGGCATTTTGATAAAAACTTTTGGATTAAGTTATGTCTACCCCAACATTTATACCTCAATTTGTATCCCACAGGTTTGCACTAACATTTTGTGTTGGTGTAAAACTAATTTTTGTTAACACACCAACATTTGTGTCCGTGTAAATTTTTGTTAACGCATCAACACTTGTGTGGGTGTAAACCATCAAAATGTTTGTGCAAAACTGTAGTGTACAAATGAGATACATTTTTTTGGTGTAGGTGTAGGATGGTCCAAAACTTTTATACTCTACTCCTAGATACACCGTAATTCGCCGTACTTTTGCTTGGTCATCAGGAGCAATCCAAATGGCTAGGGGAGATCGGGACATCAGCAAATCAGAAAATGCCACATGGCCGAGCCTCAGCCGTAAAAACTGGAAAGTTACCCATTACGGTAATCAACGGTTGCAATTATGGAGCTGTCGTTTCTGACAAGAAGGCCTGTCGTTTTGGCAGTACACATCCGCAAATGTCTTGTTTGGCTTGAGTTGGCCTGACAGCCATGTGATGTAAGCGCTTCACATTAATGACGGGGACGTCTTTATGCTCCACTTTATAGTGTCATGATCACAAATGTAGGAAGGACCATGCTAGATTTACACAAAAAATTATACCTCATTTATACACCGCATTTATACACAAATATTTGATGGTTTATACCGACACAAATTTTGGTGCGTTAACAAAAATTCACACGAACACAAAGTGTTGGTGCGTTAACAAAAATTAATTTTACACCAACACAAAATGTTAGTGCAAACTTGCGGGGTACAAAAAGTTGGGGTACAAGTAGCTTTATCCATGTAGGAAAATGAAATGGAGTTTGCCACATGTACCCAAAAATTTGTACCTTATTTGTAGAGCATAGGTATGTACCAATATTTTGATTGTTCACGCTGACACAAAATGTTGGTGCGTTAACAAAAATTTGCAATAACACAAAGTGTTGGTGCGTTAACAAAAATTAGCATTACACCAACACAAAATGTTGATGCATCTATGCGGTGTACAAAATGGGATATAAATCCTTGGGCCATAAATAGCTTTATCCAAATGAAATTTGTATACCAAAAATAAGGCTTTTTCTAACTAGAGGTACCCTTACTCCCTCCGTCCTAAAATTAACTTCTCATTTGATTTTTTACAGTCTCCAATGTGACACTTTGACCATTAATATCTTCATTTTTATATGAATATATATTATAAAGATAATATATTTCAAAACTATGTTTCAAAATGAATCTATTGATAATAAATTTATATGAAAATTCGATATATTTTTTCCGTAATATACAGTCAAAGTTTAAAAAGTTTGACTATAAAAGTCAAATTGGAGAGTTAATTTTAAGACGGAGGTAGTAACAAAAAGGTATCTCATTTTACATTTGTAACAAAACCATACTCCATTTTTAAAAATCATAACAAAGTGATACTCTCTTATTGAAATTGTCATATTCCGACAGCGGAATGATGAGTTGGTATCCTACGTGGCTTTTCTCTCTCCTACAACAAGTTAATATACATTCTCTTCATAGTAACATTCTCTTCATAGTAATTTTTTTTTGCTTAATTTTTTTTGATGTTCAATAAAAACCTTTTTTCCCATTAAGTTGATGTATTTGCATTTAATGTTAAATGGTAATATAAGATTAATTTAAGTTGAATTAAACATGCATTAAAAATTTTAAAATACTTCCTCCGTCCCTAAAAATATGGAAGATTGCAATTTTTAAGAGATTTAAGGAGAGTGTATTTTGGTGTTGAGTTTCCAAAAATGGTGATAGGTGAAAATAGGATCGGATTTGATGGGTAGATTAATAGTGAATATATGTGATGTGATAAGTAGGTTAATAATTAGTAGGGGTAAAAGTGACTTTTTAATAGAAATGATAAAAGTTTTTTGGGAGAGATGAAAAAAGAAAGGAGAAAGGCCGGTTTTCAGAGACGGAGGGAGTATAGTTTAAATAATTGCAAACAAGTTTTTTAGAGTAAATTTCTAGAATATTACTCAATAACTATGTGTTTTCCCAAATTAGTCTTCAAAACTAACTAATTCTCAAAATGGTAATCGGTAATTGAGAATAACGCTCAGTTCAGTTCCCCCGACTAACGGTCGTTAAAACGACGTTAAGACTTATACTACTTTTTCAAAATGGTACTTTCTAACTAAGTGTTTTTCTCAAATTGATCTATTTTTGAAATAAAAATACACTAATTATAAAAAAATATTTTAAATTTTATAGGATGATAATATAATACTAAAAACTATAAATGTAATTTTATAAATTTGAAATTAATGTTTAACATTATTTACGATTACTTAAAAGAATATCATGTAAAAAAATATTTAATAAACGTTGAAGATATCACCATAAATAGGAGTAAAATATAGAGAAAGAGCTCCTATTTTGATACTTCATTTATGTTTTACTTCTATTTAGGGTGATTTTTTTAACGATTACTAAACAATTTATTTACACGCTATTCTTCTAAATAATTATAAATAATAAAAAATATTTACTTTTAAATTTACAAAATTATATTTAGAGTTTTAAGTATTATATTGTCATCCTATAGCATTTAAAATATTTTTCCATAATTAATGTATTTTTATTTCGAAAATGGACCAATTTGAGAAAACACCCAGTTAGAAATTACTATTTTGGTAAAGTAGTATAAAGTTTAACTTCGTTTTAACGTCGTTTTAACAGGTGTTAGTCGGGAGGGTTGAACTGAGAGTTATTTTAAATTAACGAATATCATCTTGGGAATTAGTTAATTTTGAGGACTAATTTGGAAGAACACATAGTTATGGAGTACCATTTTGAGAATTTTTTCTTTCTTTATTATATTTACAAAACATAGTGATGGGTCGATATCTAGCGGGCGGCCCGAATGAATTATTTAGCAGACTTCGGGTCAAGCGCAAAGGAAATACTTGAACATGGGCCGGCCCATAATGCGAGGCCCGGTCTACCCCAACCCAAGACAACTGGCAGAGCCAGTCCAGAGGAGGAGACGGAGCTGAATGGCGAAGATGAAGCCGGGAAAAGTGGATCGCGCCATTGACGGGATTTAATCCCTTTGATTATGCATTACCTTAATTGTCTAGAATCCATGTATAAATAGAAGGGACCCCGAGAGAGAAAACTCAACCTGAATCATGCTAAAAATACACATATAATTCTCGAGTTCTTATTCTTAATTCATTTCTTAACGATCCGTTCTTCTGAATCGGATCATTTGGGTGATTTATTGTAAATCAAATTGGTGCTTTCATTGAGAGCTCGAGAATCATACTCAGGAAAAACCTTCCAAGAAAATGATGGTGCAGACACGCAGCAACGCAAATTTAGGTACTAGAGCCCCCCACCAGGGCAAGAACAGCGCCAACGGAGGCCAGCACCCTCCTATCAACGCAACGGAGGCGGAGGCCCTCATCCAGAGGGTCGGAATCACGGTGGAACAATTCAGGGAGGTGCTGGCGGCTCTAACACCCAATCGCGAGATTGTGGTGGAGGACGCGACCGGAGAACCTGCAGGCGGGAAGGCTGGACCTGCGGGCTCGGGGGGAAAGAAGAAAAAGAAGGTAAGGCGGTCCCAAAAGAAGAAGGCGACCAAGCCCAACGGGAAAACAAGGGTCGAGGATGAACTGTCCAGACTAGACGAGGAAGATGAATTGTCCTCCTTTGAGCGGGCGTCAGCCTTCGATCAGTTGGGGGACCCCAAATCAAAAAAGCCTCGAACCTCCGCGTTTGATTGGTTGCAGTACACTCGGTCAGCTCGCAAGGGCGACATGAGAGAGACACTCAAGGAGAGAAGAGGAGAGTCCTCCGCAACTTCCAAGATCGGCTCGGAAGAGCAACGAAAGGCGGTCGAGGACAAGGAAGCAGTCGAGTTGTGGAGGATATACGAGCGATTGGAGAAGCGGCTGGACGCCCAAAACCCATACCGCCAGGCGGTCTTCAGCGAGGTAACGCCCTTCTCTAGAAAGATAATGTCTTGCCCTCTCCCGGACAATTTTAAGACTCCACAGGTCAAAGCATACAATGGGACGACCGATCCCCAGGATCACCTTGCTCGCTTCGGGGCGAACGTGGTTATGTATGCGTACCCCGAAGAAATTAAGTGATGGTGCTTCCTGGCGACACTAGAGGGGCAGGCTTGTGAATGGTTCCACAAGTTGCCCAAAGGGTCGATTGACAAGTGGAGCGACCTGGCCCACAAATTCTTGGAGCACTTCGCGTCCAGTAGGAGGCAAAAACTCCCATTCTCACACCTGCTCAATGTGAAAATCCGGAAGGGGGAGCAACTCTGGGTATTTATCAACAGGTGGGAGAAGGAGGCTAGGGACGTCCAAGTGGCGGATGATCAGGCCTTGATCGCTATGCTCCAAGAGGCACTCCCACAAGGTGATGTGCGCAAGGATCTACGACGAAATCCGCTCTCGACCAACCAGGAGATGCTAGCCAGGGCAAAGTATCTGGCGTTGGAAGATGATGATGACGAGCCACCTGTCCGGAAGGAGAAGAAGAGTGGACAGCCGGTGGCAGAGGGAAGAATAAGGAAAGACTTTGGTAGGGGGCCAAACCCTATAGGTTATCAGGCGAGCAGACAGCCTGTCCATGCGGTACAATCCTTGTCAGCCCCTCCCCGTAGTCGGGAAAGCTATGGCGTCCAAGACGCACCCAAATACTGTGAATACCACCGTAACAGCACCCACAACACGTCGGAGTGCGTTACGTTGAAGAAAGAGATGGACTAGCTGATCGCTAGAGGGCCGCCTCCTCGGCCGGAGTGACCGGCATCGGGTAACCAGACCTGGAGGAGACCGGCGGCCCCCGCCGCAGCGATCACAGCAGGGGATGGGCAGGAGAACGGACGACGACATCTGGGGAGAGACTGTGACGACCTGGATGAGGAAAAAAGGCAGAACCGCCGACACTTGGGGTGTCAGTTCATTATGGGTGGCAATACCGGAGGGGACTCGGCGTCCTCACGGAAGAAATGGAAGAACATGGTGCACCTAGCCGAGGTGCAAAGACCACCGCTGCCCAAGCGAAAAAAGAAGGAACCTTTGGTCTTCACAGATGAAGATTACCCACCAGTTCTTAGCCCCCATTGGGATGCATTGGTGATAAAGGTGGAGATCAATAATGTGGTCGTCCACCGCACGTTGGTCGATACTGGAAGCTCGATCAACATCATGTACAACAACACCTTTAAGGAGCTGGGGTTGTCCCGGAGCGACATGAAGCCAATCCGTACCCCGCTGTCAGGATTTACGGGGGACACTATTGAAGAAGAAGGAACCATCACGGTAAAGGCTGGGGTAGGAGATGGCACCCACCGACTCTGGCTCGACATGGAATTCATGGTAGTGCAACTTGACTGTGCACACCATTTGATCCTAGGGCGACCGGGTCTGGAGGACTTGGAGTGTGTAATCTCCCCCGTCCACCTGTGTATGAAGTTTATCACCCCCACCGGGGTAGGAGTGGCTAGAGGGAATCAGAGTTTGTCCCGGTCGTGCTACGTTAGGGCGACCAAGAGCCAAACACGGGTCGATGAGAATGTGAGCACGATCTGTGCCGCCATACAGAAGAAAGAGGGACGGCCCAGAGCAGAGCCGGCGGAGGAGGTAGAAGAAGTCGCTTTGGACCCAGCCAAGACGGAGCATAAGGTGAAGATAAGTAAGACCCTACCAGTTAGGTTGAAGGAGCAGTTGGTGGGTGTTCTTCGTTCGTTCAAAGTGCTGTTTCCCTGGGGTCTAGAGGATATGCCTAGGGTCGATCCACGAATCATTTGCCATAGATTGGCAGTGGATCCGGCCCACAGGCTGGTCAAATAGAAGAAGCATTTCCTTTCCTCGGAGAGAAGAGACTTTGTCACTAAGCAGGTGACAACCCTGCAGTCCATTGGGCACATCCGGGAAGTCCGCTACCCGGAGTGGTTGGCAAATGTAGTCCTCGCACCCAAAGGGAACACCTGGCGGATGTGCGTCGATTACACCGACCTGAACAAGGCTTGCCCAATGGATCCTTTCCCTCTCCCCAACATTGACTAGTTGGTGGATGAGACGGCAGGGTGCGAATTAATGAGTTTTATGGATGCGTTTAGTGGTTATCACCAGATCAAGATGGCTATAGCAGATGAAGAGAAGACCGCCTTCATCACCCCCAATGGGATATACTGTTACAAGGTAATGCCCTTCGGTCTAAAGAACGCTGGCGCGACCTATGCGTGGATGGTTAACAAACTCTTCGCGCCAGTGTTGGGGGGATGCATGGAAGCATATGTGGACGATATGATCATCAAATCCAGGTAGATGGAGTCTCATGCCCAGGATCTAGAAAGAGTGTTCAGAATCATGAAGAAGTTCCAGCTCCGCCTCAACCCCAAGAAGTGCACATTTGGGGTTCAGGGGGGCAAGTTTCTAGGGCACATGGTCAGTCGGAGGGGGATCGAGCCCAATCCAGAGAAGGTAAAGGCGATTTTGGAGATAGAACCTCCGCGGATTGTGAAGGAGGTCCAACAGCTCATAGGAAGGATCGCTGCTCTCAGTCGCTTCTTATCGAAGATAGCTGATCGAGCGGCACCCTTCTTCCAGGCCATAAAGAAAAAAAGGTTTTGTTTGGACCGATGAATGTCAGTGGTCCTTTGAAGGATTGAAGGCGTACCTCCTCTCGCCGCTAGTGCTTTCGAAGCCGGAGCCCGGAGAGACTTTGTTCCTGTACTTAGGAATCTCTCCTCGGGCAGTGAGCTGAGTACTTGTGAGAGAGGAGGAAGGTACACAGCGCCTAGTGTATTATGTGGCTCGGGTATTGCGAGGGGTAGAGCTGAGATATATACAAACATGGAAAAGACCATCTTTGCAGTGGTTTGTACAGTGAAGAAACTCACCCCCTACTTTCAGGCCCACCCGGTCCATGTACTGTCTCAAATTCTGATTGGAACCCTCCTTCGGAGCCCGAACGCTCCGTCGCGTGTTAGCAAATGGGGAGTATACCTGGGCTCTTTTCAAATAGAATTTAAGCCGCGACCAGCGATCAAGGGACAGGCCTTGGCGGATTTTGTGGTAGAATGCACCGCAAGAAAAGTGGAATCCAACGAAGAAGAACCCGGGGGAAACTGGTGGACCATATACACCCATGGCTCGTCCACGACCGATGCTTCGAGGGGAGGTGTCGTGGCGATATCACCAGAGGGGTTCAAAGCATACTACTCTGTAAGGTTCCGGTTTAAGGTCTCAAACAATGAGGCTGAGTACGAGGCACTGCTCTGCGGTTTGAGGTTGGCAGCATCATTGAAAGCCGAGCGGATCCAGGTTCGGTGTGATTCCAAATTGATAGTGGGCCATGTCACAGGCGAATTTGAAGCCAAGGATGAGCGGATGAAGAAATATAGAGACACCGCTTTGGAATTGCTTAAGGCATTCGGGGCATACCGGATAGAGCAGGTCCGTCGAGAAGAAAATGTTGAGGCGGACATCTTATCGAAGCTTGGTCCAGACTCTCCAGATCATATCAAGGCGATGACTCAGGAAGAAGAGTTGTTCGAGCCAAGCATCAGTCCCGAACAAGTTTTTGTCGTTACACTCAATGAGCCAGACTGGATTGACGAACTCACCATGTATATCCTCGACGGGTCGCTACCCACTGACCCGATCGCTGCTAGAGTTGTTAAACGACGTGCACCTAGCTACACGCTAGAGTGCGGTCGGTTATATAAGCGATCGTACAATGGAACATTGCTGAGGTGTTTAAGGAGAGACGACGCGCAGAAGTTAATGGAAGAAATCCATGAAGGGATATGCTCAGCACACCAAGGAGCCTTTACGATGTCCAGAAAGATAACCCTGCAGGGGTATTTCTGGCCAACAATCATCAGGGATTACGCAGAATACGTGCCTAAGTGCAAGGTCTGCCAGGAGTTTCAGAAGGTACCAGGGCGACCAGCAACAAATTATACCCCGATCAGCACGTCGATTCCTTTTGCTCGGTGGGGTATTGATCTAGTCGGCATCCTGCCCAGGGGAGCAGGAAATAAAATGTACTTGGTGGTCGCGATCGACTACTTTACTAAATGGGTTGAGGCCACCCCAGTACCAACCATCACCGAAGAGCAGATGAGGAAATTTGTGTCCAAACAAATTGTATGCCGTTTTGGGATGCCCCAGCAGATCATCACTGATAACGGAACCCAGTTCGAAGCTAAGGGGTTCAATGAGTTTCTGCAGAGTTGGGGTATAAAACTTAGCTACGTTGCGGTCGGATACCCCCAGACCAATGGGCAGGTTGAGAATACTAACCGCACCATTGTGGATGGCTTGAAGAAGAGAATAATGGAGTGCAAAAGCGCCTAGGTGGAAGAGTTGCCTTATATCTTATGGACCTACAGGACCACCCCAAGGAAAGCTATTGGTGAAACTCTGTTTGCTCTCGCGTATGGGTTCGAGGCGAGGGCTCCAGCTGAGACCTCGTTGCTAAGTTATAGAGTGGAAACGTTTGACGCCAGGAGAACAAAGAGAACCTAAGGGCGGAGTTACATCTTATAGATGAGCGGAGAGAAAGGGAATATATCCGGAGAGAGAACTATCGTCGGAAACTTAAGTCGTACCATGATCAAAGGGTGCGACCAAGGCAGTTCAGAATGGGCGACTGAGTCCTAAGAAAAAGGGAAGTCAGTCGGCCGACCGACGGGGGAAGTTTGCCAAGAGTTTTGAAGGACCATACATCATAAAGGAAATGTTGGCCGATGGAACCTTTAAGCTACAAACACCAGCGGGAGGCGACGTCCCACGGATATGGAATGCTGCCAATCTTATCAAATTTTATCAGTAGAATGTACTCCTTTGAGTTTAATAAAATCAGCATTTTGGCACTTCTTTTCTTAAGTATCCATCGTTAAAAGAAAAAAAAAGGAGCGACCAAAGAGATCGCTAACAAAAGCTATATGGTGATTCGCGCTAAGATACCCATTGGGGGATGAGGTGCTAAACCCAACTAGTAACCAAGTCCAAAGGCTATCAGAGGGTGTTTGATCTACGGTCGCAAAGGCGACTATGGGACAACACGCCTAACAGAAGGGCGACGCCGTGGCGAGAAAGCCTAAAAAACGACTAATTTCAAAACATAATATCTGATGGTCGCATGAGCGACCAGAGGACTTTGGAAAAATATGGCGACGCCATGGGAGCGAAAAGGCCCCAAGAATGGCTGAGTCAAAAGAAGCGAGGTGTTCTCTAACCGAGGATTGAGGAGACCTGAACGCTTGAAATAAGGTTCAAAAGAGGTAATTTGAGAAGAAGGCGAGACTTGTAAGTAAACAGGTAACATCGAAATACATTTATGAAAATGTTTATTACACTTTTAGGATAATCTTTTGCACCTGCACATCCAATACAATTGAGAACAACTTCTACACATTCTACATACATTCAAAAGGGGAAAATTCCCCCATACATCTCAAAGAAAAATAAATCCAAAACCCCGTGCGGCTGAAACTCGGGAAAAATGAGGAAAACATCGGGAAAGGCAAGGTAGAAGGGTAGTTCTGCAGCTGTGTGGGCCGACAGAACCCCAATCACCGGCCGTCCAGAGCGACCACCTTTCTTCTCCAACATGGAACAGAGATGGTCGCCCCTAGCCGCAACAAAAACCCCCCATCCTTCTCCTGTAAGGAAAGGAAGGGAGGCGACACACTTTTTTGTGAGCCCCAATCGGCATCACCTAGATGAGGATGAAGACCCTGAGGCCGCTCGAGCTACTCCGGATCGCCTAGGAGTCTTCCGGGGAGGCGAGCGACTAGCAGGGCGCGGTATGGAAGAATCCAGTTCTTCCCCCACCACAACCTCATCTTTAGGCCGTATCGGTGAGTTGGTGCGACTTTCGCTAGTCCACTGCTCTAGACTTGTGTAATATGCTCCCTCATGATCCAAGAGGGGCAAGTGCTCATTCTACACGCTCTCCCAAGCCATACACTGCAACGAGGGGAGGGGGCATGGGGCATCCCAGTAAATCTGTCTGTTTGGCAGACGGTTGGCTGAAAGTGCCTTGTACGCCGCGCTAAAGTCGTCATAAGGATTTGGCGGTATGGGCGGCGGTTTAACCGAGGGCCATTGCCAGCTAGGTAACCGGTGGCAGAATTCGTAGGGGTCTAGCCCCCCAGTCATTGGAGTTAACAGATTTGGGGGAAGAGGCAGGCTCCGGCAAAGAAGGGACCGGTCCATCAGAGAGATTCAGGGAAGTGGGAATTTCTTCGGACATGACAAAAATGGAGAAAGAGAAAGTATTTGGTGGTGAAGCTGAACGAAGGATGGGGGGGCTTATAAATAGCCCCGGGTCCGAAGGGACGGTCCAGTCCCAAGGCAGCTAAACCGATAAAGCAACTTTGAGCCGCGCGAAAGTCCAATCAAAGGCTATGTGAAATGCATTGGGTCAGTTGGGCGGCGTGCCAGGCAGTTCCGAGGCTGGGCGTAGCTGTGCAGTTGGGCCAGGGATGGAGGTTGGGCCCAAGCTAAAAAGGCCCATCCATGGTTACGAGCTAAACTAATTTAAAGAAGAGAGAATAGCAATTAAGTGCAGGGAAAGTGAAGGTACATGACGAATAAAGCAAAACAAGCATCAGACATGGAAGTATCGTATCAAAACACCAAGGCTTTCCAAAAAATCACATCTTACAAGTTCAAAGGTAAAGAATACAAGAAAAGGGAGGTAAATCAGATGCCTGAGCTAGCGCTTCCACCCGCCTTGGACGCTGCTTGGTTGGCAGCAGGATCCTGGTCGCCTTGCCCATCTTGGTCGTCCACAGTTTCTTCTTCTTCCTCGTCAGAGGCACTCGAGCTTCCCTCGTCCAGGTAAGGACTGGGGTCGAACTCAGCCAAGGCATGGCAAGGGGGAGGAAGACCAAGGTCGGGGAAGGAAAATCCTTTGGGGAGCCGGGCTAGCTTGCTGCGAAAGACTTGCTGGGCGCGAAAGAGTCCGCAGTTGAAGGACTTTGTTACCTCCTTAACCATCCATTGGGCCCCGGGCTCGGTTTTGAGCCATTCAGCCGCCAGCTTGTCCATCCGCTCCATAGCGACCGCAGCAAAATCAGGAGAAGATTTGAACAACTCGATCGCCTCTTCCACGCGACGGGCCTGATCGCTCTTCTCCACTTCTAGTTGCTGAATCAGATCGGTCTTCTCCCCCTCTAGCTCAGCCACACGGCGGAAACGGACCCCATTTCTGAAGTTAAGGAGGCATTCTCTGTCTCAAGGGCGGTAGAGCGACCCTTCTCCACCTCCGACTCTCTTGCGAGGCGGGCGACCTCCTCTTGCAGTTCTCTCTGCTTATCTTCTATGGCCCTCCTCTCCGCATCCATCACTGCTTGGAGATCTTGTCTCCGACCAACAAGCTCAATCATCCCCAGCGTGGCCTGAACCAAAACTTAAGGAGTCAGAGATGTAAGGTGGAGGGGCGTGAGAAGGGAATTAAGGAAAATACCTGGCTAAGTTTTAGGAGAACCATGTTGTTGAGGTCCTCCTCGGAACCGGCCGAGATGCGAGCCCGGTCTTGCGCGGGCAGGGTGACCAGTACCTCCAGCTACGCGTCCCCTAGACTTGGAGATGGGGGAGGAATGCTGAACTTCGTTGAGCGACCCTCGGTCGCCACCTCGTAGGTCACTGCGGGAGGCGAACGAGGTCGCTCCGAAAAGGCCTCCTGGGACGACCCAGCGAGGTCGCCACCTAGCACCAGAGAACGCGGCGTGGGATTGATCGCCATCATCCCTGTTCCCAGGGCTGCATCATCCTGGTCCTCCACCTCAATCACGACCTGCTCACAAGAAGGACCGTCTTCGCCTCGAGAGGAAGAGCGCTTGCTTTTGCTTGGCTTGGTCGCGTCTCTCTTCCTCTTCTTCCCTGCAACGAAGCGACCGAGCAAGAGATCACTGTCCATCTCTTTTTCTAGTCCTTGTGGCTCAACTGAAAACAAGAGGAATGGTTAGCCTCCGAAAGAAATAAACTCGACTTCCTTGACAAAAAGAAAAGGAGATTACCAAAAGGACCGCTGTCGAGGCCTCCCTCAGGAGTGTCCCTTAGCTAGTCGGGCTGATGTCCCCCGGGAGTATCCCTTAGTAGGTCAGGCTCGTGACGAAGCTCATCCTGGACAAACTCAAACCCCAGCGCTACTAGGGATTCTTCAGTCACCACCTCCTTAATCTCGGCGGCCCTTTGACCGCAGAGTTGCCGGGTGATGGACAGGAGGGTGGCGTCGGGTGGGGGACATGGGATACGGTGGAAGGACTGGAGCCCTGAACCCGTGAAAGGAGATTCAGGCCCCGTTGAGACAAAGACAAAGAAGGGCTTCCAGTCCTTGGTCGACCCCTTCTTATCACTGGTGAAAAGTTTGCTGGACCTTTGGGAAAGGCTGGCATAGGACGCCCAATCCTTATGACCCTTGGTCAGCTTGAAGGTAAACAAAAAATGGTCAAGGGTAGGCTTCACCCCTACATCCTTGCATCTGATCAGATAACCGGCAATGTACCGATGAGAATTGGGAACCAACTGGTAAGGAAGGAGGTCCACCTCGTTGAGGAATTCGATCAACAATGGGTGGAGAGGAAATCACAACCCCTTCTTCAGAGACGCCAGATGAACTGTAAAGAACCCCGAAGGAGCGTCTAGGGCGGTCTGGGTGCTGGTGGGCCTTAGAACCTCAATAGAGGGTCCAACCATGTCAGTGGCATCGACGAACCCCCGGTCAGTAATTTGGCAATGGCACAACGCCATGATGTTCTCATCCATCTTAACCCTCGAGCCCCCCCGTGCTAGGGTCGAGGAAGGAAATTGCTTCCTCAACCGGCGCAGCTTCTGGCCGGGCATGGCTAGCGGCGACGGCTGTGACGATTGAGTCTGGCTTAGGTCACAGCCAGAGGCCGATTGATCGGCTTGGCGAGAATTGGACGACGCGGAAGCTGAATCAGAATCAGAGATAATCATGGCGGCGAGAGAGGGAACTGACTTGGGACAGAAGAAAAATGGGTCGGGTAACGGCGGAGGAACAAACGCAAGAGCAATTGAGAAGACAAAATGAGGAAGATTGGCGTCTAGCGGCGGTTTTAACAGGCAGTAGGAAGGCGAAGCAGCAGGCCATGATTACCTTTTAGTGGGGATCGTGCCAAACGTCACGCGACACCCAAGGAACGACCCGAATCCGTACTAGAACGCCCATGTGGACCTCGTAAACTCCCCATCCCTCAACTTGGCCCAGCTGCGGAATGAGGAGTTGGGGGGCTTGTGATGGGCCGATATCCAGCGGGCGGCCCGAATGAATTATTTAGCAGACTTCGGGTCAAGCACAAAGGAAATACTTGAACATGGGCGGCCCATAATGCGAGGCCCGGTCTACCCCAACCCAAGACAACTGGCAGAGCCAGTCCAGAGGAGGAGACGGAGCTGAATGGCGAAGATGAAGCCGGGAAAAGTGGATCGCGCCATTGACGGGATTGAATCCCTTTGATTATGCATTACCTTAGTTGTCTAGAATCCATGTATAAATAGAAGGGACCCTGAGAGGGAAAACTCAAGCTGAATCAAGCTAATAATACACATATAATTCTCGAGTTCTTATTCTTAATTCATTTCTTAACGATCCGTTCTTCTGAATCGGATCATTTGGTGGATTTATTGTCCATCACATAGTTTTATTTAAAAAGAAAAATTTGAATAAAGACTACATGATGCTCTCCCCATTAAGAGAGGTAAACCCAAAGGTCTAAATAGAATAGGAAACCCAAAATTTTAAAAAATTGATGGTAGATCTCGCGGGCGATGGAAGATGGAAAATTACAGGGAGATGGAAAATTAAGGCAAATAAGCAATGTGAGAAATAGAAATTGGGAACACTGATATTAGGTCAACGTGGGAACTGTGAAGGTTAAAGAGGGTATTTGGAAGTGATTAACTTATGAGTAAAGTGATTTTTACAAATGCTGAAAACAGAACGAAAAAGTATATATCTGTTTTTTTTCTAAAATAGTGTTCTATGTACAAAATGATATTGAAGAAAAGCAGAAGTTGGTATGCCAAACAGAATATAATTATTATCACTTAAAGTAAAAGCTAAATTCTGAAAAACACCGTAGTGCCAAACACCCTCTAAATATAGCTTACTCTTTAGGGCTGGAAAAAAAGAGTTAGATATTGGGAGAAACTGGAAACAACTCAAAAAATTGGAAAGAACTGGAAAAAATGGAACATATTAGAAAAAACTAGAAAAAACTGAAAAAACTTCAAAAGGTTTATTAAGTGTATTTTATATAGTATTCTTATTACAATTGTTATTGTTGTTGTTGTTGTTGTTGTTGTTATATTCATAATAGTTAAACAAAGTGAGTAAAAATCAAATACGTGAATAGTTACATGTCATTTAACTAGAGATGGAGAGTAGTATAATTATTATTTTTTAGTTTAAAATATTGATGTTTTTCCCTGGTCAATTTAGATAAAAAATATCTATACTTTTTGGGTAAATTTCACGAGTAGTACCTGAACTTTAGCTGCAATTTCGAAGTGGTACCTTAACTTCAAATCCTTTCAGAAAAATCACTGAACTTACGCAATCCTTTAAATAAAAGTCCATTTGCCCGTTTCTAGGTTAACTTCCGGTCATTTGGGCCAAATTAGAATTTTATATATTTTAAAATTTTCAATTTGACCCTTTTTTTTTCTTCCGCTCCCCGCCGCCGTCGCACCACGTCAAACTCGCCAGAAAATCAACATGGTCAGATTCTGGCGGGACCAATGTCGTTCTCTTCGTCTTGAGATGAGGATCAACAATATCCAAATCATTCTGTCCAATTTGGCCTGCAACTCCTTGAATTTGAACTTTTCCACTCGAAAAAAACCCTAAAATGCGAAATTGGGGGTTTTTGCAAATCGCCAGCAAATCTTGCAATTAAGGGGTCCTAGGGGGTCGCCGAGATGCCACGAACACATTGGAGGGGATGAGCGACGTCAATTTTGCCAGAGGTGGCCGGAAAACGCTCCAACCCGCCGGAAGGACGCCGGCGTTTAACTTCATTCTCAAAAATCAGAATTTTATGTTTAACTTCTTTATTTTCCTTTGAGGCCTTCTTAAACATTCCTACTAGTTCTTCTACAATGCACACAACATCATTTAAAGTTAAGGGTTCATTGGAGAAAGGTTGTTGATCACTTACCTCCTTAGATGCTTGATCTTCTTCAATGGCCATGAGGCAAAGATTGGCCATCTCCTCCGCTTCGGAATCATCACTTCCGGAGCCATCGTTCTCCCAAGAGATGTAGGCACGTTGCTTCTTTGGTGCCTTCTTGTCCTTCTCGTTCTTGAGCTTGGGGCACATTGGCTTAATGTGTCCAATTTCACCACATCCATAGCACTTGGGTGGAGTGTTCTTCTTGGCTCTCGTCTGGTTCATCATCTTCTTGAATCTCCAGACGAAGAGCCCGATGTCGCTGTGATCACTATCATCATCTTAGTCGTCAACGTTGTTGGTTGACATTGTTGCAGGAAGAGCGATGCTTCTCTTGTTCTTCTCTTCAACCACTTTTGAAAATTGAGTGGTTTCGTAGGTAATGAGATTACCTCGAAGAGAGTCATAAGTCATCGTTTGGAAGCCGCGCGCTTCCTCGATTGCATCCGCCTTTGAACGCCACTTGGGTGACAAGCTCCGCAACACTTTCCTTACAAGTTCTCGGTCGGTGTAGACTTTTCCGAGAAGGTTGAGAGGATTGATGATGTTGGAGAACCTCTCGAACATCTCTTCCACCTTCTCGTTTTCCTTCATTGAGAACAACTCATACTCGTGAGTGAGTTGGTCTATTTTGGCCTCCCGAACTTGGGTGGTTCCTTCGTAGGTGATTTCCAGCTTCTCCCACATTTGCTTTGTGGTTTCGCACCGCGAGATCTTCCGGTAGTCATCTGCATTCACTCCGCAATAAATTATGTTTATTGCCTTGCCATTGAGCTCCATCTTCTTGAAGTCGTTCTCGTCGAACTCTTCTTCGGTTTTGGGAAGGTAGACTCCATCGACTTCCTTTATCGGAATTCCGCAGTCGTTCTTTACAATCAATCACAGCTTGTAGTCGTTGGATTGGATAAAGATTCTCATCTTCTCCTTCCAATACGAGTAGTTTGTTCCATCGAACAAAGGTGGCCTCATGGTTGATTGTCCCTCGGTTACTCTTGCGTTGAACATTCTTGGTGCCATTTGATCTTTAAGTTCCTGAAAATATAACGTATTCGAAGAACTTCCTGCTCTGATACCAATTGTTAGACAAATGTGCAACTCTAGAGGGGGGGTGAATAGAGTTGTTTTCAAGAATGTGTGTTTTTCCCGTGTGTGAAATAAAAATCGCAGGAATAAATTTAAAGAGTAAGGGAAAGAAGAACACCGAGATTTATACTGGTTCACCACCTCGTGGCTAATCCAGTCCTCCGAGAGACTCTCTTGAAAGTCCTACTAATCTTCAAGCTTCAACGGGTGCTTGAAAAACCAGTACAACTTGAGAACTTGAACCACACAAGCCTCACTTTCTTACAACACCAAGACTTGAGTCACACAAGTCTTAAGAACAACACTCAAAACAAGATGAGTTTAACAACACAAGAAATGAGGCTCACAAATGAGCAAGTAGTGTTTAAAGTGTAAGCTCTATGGATAACAATATCTTTGTACTCAAGAAAAAAAATACTACCTCCGTCCCACTCTCTTTGTCCACTTTTGACTTTTGGAACTGTTCATCTAACCACTTTAACTCATCAAATTCTCTCAATGTGTAAGCCTAAATATAGTCATGTGTGATCTTGTTTGATTTGTCTTAACATATAGATTATTAATATATAATTTCTATAATTTTTTAAAATACAAATTACAAGATAAAATGGATTAAAGAAGTGCATCGGATGGTGTGCCAAAAGGTAAGTGGACAAAGAGAGTGGGACGGAGGGAGTATATATCTAGCTCTCAAAATAGTATTTGATTATCAAGAGATGGAGCAAGAATCAAAAGTAATGAATGAGAGGATTGAAGTGCTTGTATTGTATATAGAATGAAGGAGTAAGAGGGATTATATAGGTGAAAAATGGATATGTCCGTTGGGGCAAGATATTGGCTGAGTAAGAGATACAACGGACAAAAAATCGATTTGCACAAGGAGAGAAAATCGATTAGATGCTCCTGAGCAAAATTCCTTCAGCGCTATAGGTAGCTAATTGATTAATTTAGGATTCGTTTAATCGATTTAAACTAGAAATCAATTTCACCAAATGTGAATTAATCGATTAAAAAACTGGGCGAGAGAACCCAATCAGCGAAAGAAGAGAAATTGATTTGCACAAAGTAAAAAATCGATTAATACTGCGAATTTCTCAAGGACAGCAAAAATCAATCAATGGCGAGATAGAGAAGGACATTTGTCCCTTTCTTGTTGTTCCCAACATGATTCCAGCACAAGAGGCTCCCAATCACATCTAAGAATTATTCAAAATAAATTTTTGAATAAATGGGGTGATTTGTGATTTGGAGAAAAGAAATTAAGTCCAAAAAATAATTTGTGTGTCAAAAGATGAAAAAGAATTTGGGGTAAAAATATTTTTGCTTCCCAAAAAAAATATTTTTCTAGTATAAAAAAGATTATTTAAAATTGTTTGACACATCTTTTGTAACTGACTCAATAAATTTATTTTTGAATCGTTAAAGGATTTTCCAATTGACTCCAAAAATAAATATAAATTTTTAATGTATATCCCTTAATAAAGTAAAATTTAAGTGAAAAGATATTTTGTCATCCTTACAAATTTCCTAGACTCAAAGAAATAAGTCTTCGGAAGGCTTCTCTTTACTTCAAGATCTTGCGTAGGGATAATGAACGGTAGTCGTGAATTTCTTGATGTGTCTTTTGCTTTCTTGAACCGAAAAGTAAATTTTCGTTCTTCGTTGCGTTTGTCATTTATCAAAACCTGAAAGATTAATTTCATGACAAAAAAATAAGGGTTTGAACTCATGTCCAACATGATATTGAATGTGTGATTGCCATTGTTTTTGGATGTTAAATTGAGAAGAATTGTAACTAGGAGATTTGTTTACGACTTGAACAGGTTGAACTAGAAAACTCATGTGACTCACGGTAGCTCGGTACAGCCAGGCGGTACCTTGCTACTGTCACACGCCATTTTGCACTGCCAGACTTGCGAGACGTGTGACGGTCATGGTAACCGACTACCGTTCGACGGTAGTTAGCTACCGTAAGGCGGTACGTCAGTACCGTTACCGCCTAGCAGTCCTGATTCAATTAGGTAAATCATTTTCTTATGTTGTGTGTGCACGTTGAGACAACTATGCTTGTATGATGGTAAGTACCCCACGCTAGGCCGCTATGTGTTTGTTTGTATGTGTTGATCCAATGTTATATGAATTGTGAATATTATTGGTTGATCCAACCTCGAATCCAATGGCAAGAGCGGGCTAATCTAGAACGCAAAATGTAGACCACTTGGTGTCGATCCAACATTGCAACAAAGGAATGTCTACCTAGTGTTAAAAAAACGTCCCAACGCTAGAGGGGGGGTGAATAGCGTTTGAAACGAAAAACGACGCAGGAGTAAAAATTAAAAGCGTAAAGTAAAGAGCAATAAAGAAGCACACCGTTTTTACCCTGGTTCACCACAACTTGTGACTAGTCCAGCCTCCCGAGAGACTCTCTCGAGCTACACTACTATCTCGTTAAGCTTGCGGGTGCTTAACAAATCGTTACAACCTGAGAACTCGAGTCCCACGAGCCTCAACAACACTTGCTCGGAGATACCGCACTCCAAGACTTCAACCCGAAGGAAAGTACCTTTCCTTCGTACAACCAAGGGAAACAAACTTCCCTTAATGTCTATAAAAACTAAGAACACTCAAGAACAAGGCTCTCTCAAAAGAGTGAATATGAGTAAAGTAATACGCTCAAGATCACAACACGAACTTCACAAAAATGGCTCTCGAAAAGCNCCCGAGAGACTCTCTCGAGCTACACTACTTCCGTTAAGCTTACGGGTGCTTAACAAACCGTTACAACCTGAGAACTCGAGTCCCACGAGCCTCAACAACACTTGCTCGGAGATACCGCACTCCAAGACTTCAACCCGAAGGAAAGTACCTTTCCTTCGTACAACCAAGGGAAACAAACTTCCCTTAATGTCTATAAAAACTAAGAACACTCAAGAACAAGGCTCTCTCAAAAGAGTGAATATGAGTAAAGTAATACGCTCAAGATCACAACACGAACTTCACAAAAATGGCTCTCGAAAAGCAATGAATAATGTATGAATAATATGCAATGAAAGAATAGGAGTTGTGAAGTAATGTGTTATTTAAAACAGACCCAAACACCCCATTTTATAGTGGAAAAATAGGCTTCAACGGATCAAAACATTTAAGGGGTGATTGGCACAATTTGTGGGATTCGATTAAATTTGGATCTGCTGAAATTCACCCAGACAACGCTGTCCTAGGCTTGGACATCGCTGTTCTAGGATTGGGTTTTGAAAAATGGGAAGCAGCGGTCATGCCAACAGCGATGTCCAAAACTTCTACATCGCTGTTTTGGCTGTTGACTTCCAAACAAGGAAGGTTTTAGCCTTAAATTCCTTCCAACGGTCAGGTGCCTACATCGATGTTCATTGCTTGAACATCGCTGTTTAGACCTGACTTTGAAAGTGAAAGAAATGGCCTGACATCGCTGTTGCTGGGTCAACAGTGCTGTCCAAAAACTTTCTGCCAATGTATTTGGTTTTGGCTTAGGTTGGACAGCGATGTAGGGTAGGCTACATCGCTGTTCCAGATGTTTCTAGAAACCCAACCTTGGCTCAACAGCGATGTCTAACAACCAACATCGCTGTTGGAAGACTTAACGCCAAACCATGGTTTTCAGCTACCCATGTTAGACAGCGCTGTTGGTTACACCAACATCGCTGTGGCTGGTTTAGCCAGACCCATGGTTGGTTTAGTCATGCCGTTAGCCGATCTCAAAAATGTAAATTCTCCAAAATAAAAACTAAGTATTTAAAATGTTTGTTTAATGCATTTTGCTAAGAAATCAAGTAAAACATTTTGAAAACCACGTCATTTAGTTGAAAACCATGGCTAGCCAGGTTTACGCCGTTTCGCATGGTTTTCACTAAACGACCGAAAACGAAGGATGGTTTTTGAGGCGTTTTTGTTGGAGAACTATTTAAATATGCCCAGAAGTAAAAACCAATCATTAAGAGTTGAAAACCACTTGGTTGGTTCGGACACCAAAAACCAACGCCGATAACCGAAGGCCGAACGCCGGTTTCTGAAGACCGAACGACGGATGGCTTGGTTTTTGGTTTGGGCGAACTCCAAGTGTTTTTAGGCAGGTTTAAGACTTAAGAAAACCATTTTGAATATGCAAAAAAGTATTTTGATGAAATGAGCCTAGAGAGCCATGTTTTGAAAGTTTGTGCCGGTCTTGATCACATTAAAACCGACTCAATACAATTCTAAGTCTTCGTTCTTGATTCTTGGTTCTTGGTTCTCAATTCATCATTCCATGTTCCTTCACCTTGGTTTTGCTTACTTTAACCGTGTTATTGTCACGACGGTTTGGCATTATCAAAACCTGTCATAAAACGAACACGGTTTAGTATGACATAGGCGTAAACCCGTGTTCCAACACCTAGAGTGTTAATCGGTTTTAGTCGTTGTGCCCACGCCTTAGAGGGGGGGTGAATACGGCGTTTGAAATATTTCCGGAGTTTGATAAAAACGGTGTTGGCAAATGCGGAAGCAATATATAAAATGCAGAAATAAAAGCGTAAAGTAAAATTTACACCGATTTAATACTGGTTCGGGAACTCCCTACTCAAGTACCTTAAGGCTCCTCCTTAACGATTTCCGAATCCACTAAGTTCCGGTCTCTTGAACTCCGTCAAAGCACCGCACTAGTTTGGCAAACAACCCTTGCCAATAGGATTCACTCCGAGATTTCACCACGGCTATCTCGAACCATTTATAACGAAGATTTAACGGCTATCTT